TTGCAACAGAGATATCCCTCTGGATTCTCAACTGTCTCACATGGGTGTAGAGAAAGTCCTTTTTGCATCTCCAACCTTCCTGCCAGCCTCAAGGTGACTTTTTCTGTAAGCCCTTGGATATAAAATTTCTGTTCAGTTAGTCTTCAGTTGGTTATTCTGGTTGATTATTCTATAATTTAGTTGTAATTCAGATTTTTTCTGGTGAGGAGGTGAGTGTGATTTTCATCTACTCTGCTACCATTGTGGATCCTTCCCTTCCCTCATCAACCTTTAGGGCAGACTATTTTTCAGTGAAAATTTTCTGCTCATCACATTTTTATATCAACTGTAAAAAACTCAACATAGAAAATACTTAACCTTAGAAATTGTTCTTGTATCTATGTTGTATTTTTATTGCATTCTAAAAATTTCTATGGTGCTGATCCTAGCGAGTTCTTCTGATAATAATAGACTAGATAATTCCTATCCCTCCTGCAGAGAATAATCAGGGGAAAGAAAAGACAAACTATATCTATTGAAAGCATCATAGAACTAAAAATAAAATGAAAAAAAAATAGGGTTTTAGGATCTGAGAGGAGGATTCTTAGAGAAGTAATCTGGTACTTGGGCCTGCTTTTCTCTTATGGACATGTGTTCATTCCCAGTAAAGGCTGCTGAGACAGCTGAGAATCTAAAAGGAGCTTTTAGCAGAATCAAAGGGGCACACAAAGAAAGATACTGGTAAAAACAACAACAACAACAAAAAACTTTGGATTGGGATGCTAACTAAGATAAGCCAGAGTTGTTGTTTTTAATCTTTATTGTTTAGATTATTACAGATGTTCCTCTTCCCCCCATAGCTCCGCTCCACCCTGTTCCCCACCACCACCACCAGGCCCTCACCACCACCCCCCACTATCCTCATCCATAGGTGTAAGCTCTTTGTCCAATCTCTTCCCGCACCCTTCCCCCCAAGAATTGTCAGTCCACTCCCTTTCCATTCCCCTGATTCTATTACATGTCCCAGTTTGTTCTGTTCATCAGATTTTTTATTCATTTGTTTAGATTTACAGATGTTCCTCTTCCCCCCATAGCTCCGCTCCACCCTGTTCCCCACCACCACCACCAGGCCCTCACCACCACCCCCCACTATCCTCATCCATAGGTGTAAGCTCTTTGTCCAATCTCTTCCCGCACCCTTCCCCCCAAGAATTGTCAGTCCACTCCCTTTCCATTCCCCTGATTCTATTACATGT